AGGCCCCTCCACCCTGTTCCCTACCCACGCCCTAGGCAAGGTCTGCCTACCCCATCACCCCACCCGCCCCCCGCCGCAGCAGGGCCCACAGACCCTCACCCCCAAACCTGGCAGGGCCTGCAGACTCTCACCCCCCACCGCCCCACCCCTGGCAGCTTCTACCAGGACAGTGGCTCTCTGGTGCTGAAGGGTCTCCGGGCCTCAGACTCGGGCGCCTACACCTGCGTGGCCCACAACCCCGCCGGGGAGGACGCCAGGCTGCACACGCTGCACGTGCTGGGTGAGCAGCCGGTGGGGTGCGTCTGCAGGGTGCTGGGGACCTTGGAGCCACGCCCACACTGCCCCCAGGCCGCAGGCGGGCCCCACCCCCGGCCTCCCTTTCAAACTAGAGGCCCAACTGCTCCAGCCCAGGGTATAGGGGGGAGTCGGGGGTGAGGCTGTGTCCCCACACAGTGGTCTCTTCCCTCACACGGGTGGAGGCCACAGCAGCTGCTGGGCAGAAGTCTGGGTCTTGGTGCCGACTCCCAGGATTCCCTGGGAGGGAGGGTCCCACCCTTCCCCCAGGGCCCCTCACTGCCCTCCCCCCCCCTTATCCCCTCTGCCTCTCTCAGTTCCTCCCACCATCGAGGGGACAGATGACTCAGGGACGCTGGTGAGCAGGCCTGGCGAGCTGGTGACCCTGGCGTGCCCCGTGCGGGGCTCCCCACCCGTGCACGTGAGCTGGCTCAAGGACGGGCTGCCCCTGCCGCTGTCCCAGCGCACCCACCTCCACGGCTCTGGACGCAGCCTCAGGTAAGGGGTGGCGGGCAGGCATCGCCTTTCGGCACAGAACCGACATTCTGGGAATGCCAGCCAGAGGGCGGGGTGGAGACCAGGGCTGGCACGGTTGCGGACCATGGCCCAGTGGCTCATGTCAGGAGGGGTCTGAAGGCCCCAGAGGGGTGGACAGGAGCAAGAAGGGATGGGGGGGTTGCAGTCATGTTTCAGGGAGGGAGGGGGATGCGGCCAGAAGATGGGCCACGGGCTGTGATGTCATGACCAGCACTAGCGACCTTCGCACAAGCAGTTTAGAGAACGTGGTCAGGGTGAAAGGAAATTCGGGAGGAAGTGGGAACATAGACCACAGAGACGAGAGGGGTCGTCTAGGAAGGGCAGGTAAGCTGGCCCTGTGAGGCAACTTCTGGAATTTCGGAGGCAGGAGGCTTGGCTGCCCAGTGAGATGGGTCAGAGCAGGCAGTGGGGGCGGGGGCTCTGGGAGGGGCAGTTTGGGGCTTTATCCTGGGCTCTGGGCAGCCAGAAAAGGGATTAAGCAGAGGCTGGATTCAGAGTCACTGTCCCTGGCTTCTCAGTCATTAGGGAGATGGAAAAGGGCCGGGGCACAGTGGCTCACACCTGTAATTCCAGCACCTTGGGAGGCCGAGGCGGGAGGATGGCTTGGGCCCAGGAGTTCAAGACATCATAGCAAGATATCATCTCTATAATAATAATTTAAAAAAGCAACAGACTAGGCTCAATGGCTCAGCCTGTAATCCCAGCACTTTGGGAGGCTGAGTTGAGTGGATTGCCTGAACCCTGGGTTCAAGACCCACCTGGGCAAGTTGGTGAGACCTCATCTCTACAGTAAATCAAAAAAATTAGCCAGGTGTGGTAGTGCATGCCTGTAGTTCTGGCTACTTGGAAGGCTGAG